CTGGGCTTTTCTTAGTTGGTAGTCTTTTGATGGTTTCTTCTATTTCCTCAATTGATATTGGTCTGTTTAGGTTGTCTATATCCTCCTGACTCAATCTGGGCAGATCATATGACTTAAGAAATTTATCGATGCCTTCACTATCTTCTATTTTATTGGAGTATAAGGATTCAAAATAATTTCTTATTATCTTCTGTATTTCTGAAGTGTCTGTTGTGATATTGCATGGCTGGTTCTTGGAACAGTTGGATGAAGGACAGACTTGCAGAAGCATTCATGGGGACACCACTGACATGTGGTTTGTGCACATGAGCAAGGGCTGCAGACAGCATGAATAAGACTTTTAAGTGAAATCACCCAGAAAGCATTGAGGAGCTCTCCCATGGAATGATAGTAACCAGAACTTACTACTTCTCTTGTCTTGCAGTGTTATCTTTTGCCTGTTGGAGAAATAAGAAAGTGTCCTTGTTAAATGACTTTTAAAAATACCTAGCTAACTGGGCACGGTGGTGCACAGCCTGTAATCCTAGAGGCTTAGGAGTGTGAGGCAGGAGGATCCTGAGTTCAAAGCCAGCCTCAGCAAAAGCAAGACGCTAAGCAACTCAGTGAGACCCTGTCTCTAAATAAAATACAAAATAGAGCTGGGATGTGGCTCAGTGGTTGAGTGCCCCTGAGTTCAATCCTTGGTACTCAAAAAAAAAAAAAAAAAAAAAGAAAGAAAGAAAAGAAAAAAAAAACCTAGCTAAAGAGAGGCATTCTTAATAATGAAATCACCATCCTAGGGTATTTTCCATTTTCCAAATTATGTATCATTTTAGAAGATATAAGAATGTAATGTCGGAATGGGGATGTAGCTCAATGGTAGAGCCCTTGTCTGGCATGTGTTAGGCCTGAGTTCAATCCCCAGAACTTAAAAAAATAAGAATGTAATGTGGCCAGGTGGTGGCAGTTCATGCCTGTAATCTCAGCTATTTGAGAAGCTGAGGCAGGAAGATCATAAGTGCAAAGCCAGTCTGGGCAATTTAGTGAGAACCTCTCTCAAAATTTTAAAAGATGGGCTAGGGTGTAGCTTAGTGGCAGAGTGCTTGCCTAGAATGTGTGAGGACTTAGGTTCAATTCCCAGTCGAAAAAAAAAGAAAAAAAGAAAAAGAAGAAAGTACCATGTGCTGCTTTCATGAAGATTTAAAAAGTATTTTAGTTATATTTTACATTATAAACATATCACTTTATCACTTGGGATTAATCAGAGGTTTGTCAAGTATCAGTTAATTTAGTTTGGGGCTTATGGTTTGGTTCAGTTTAAGCTCCTTCTGTTGGCTCTACCTGACAAACAGATGCTGTTCCCTAATTTCATGTAAGACCAAACCACTCCTATGGTTCCTCAAAGAACATGAACAAGGGAAGAGGAGCCAACCAGCAGACCAGTCAGGTGGGTATAGACCACTGGAGGAAGAAGCCATGCGTTGGGATTGTGTAAGGTTGATTAACACTGACAGCTTGCTTTCACTCCTTCAGCTATAGTCATGGAACATAGTCCTTTTCCACATTTACTGTCATTGTTTCAACAGGAGAAAATTTCCAATGGTCAGTGTTTGTTCATGATTTTGTTTATAAAACAAGAGGAATGAGTATGACTATGGAAACTTCTTATTTTTCAAGTACTCTATTGTGGATTACTTTTCTTAAAACAGCACTTAACAGCAACAGAACAATCCTGGTTCTTGTGTTTCCATATCCTCTATTAGTCCATCAGTGTCATTAGAAAAGCAAGATATACTTTACATATGCCACTTTTATTATCTGTAAAGAGCAGGTTTAAAACGTTTTCCCTTGGCAATACCATAGGATTTGTGGCAAAAAATATTTACTAATGTGTTTGAATAAATATCTGAGAGCACTTTAGGTTAGTTTAATTATAAGTTTAGGATATCTAGATCTGACACATTTTCCGAATAACCTGTTTTTCTAATTTTGTTCTGGTGAATTTCAAACTTTGAAATCTCTTTTTGGTAAAATATGAAGAAGGGATTTTCTAATCAGAGGCTTTCTTCATGTCTTTTAGCATCTTCCTGTTAGGCAATGGCTTGTGTGACCCTATGTCTGGACAGTAAAAACGACCCCGGAGCTCACCCATGATACATACAGCAGGGTGTTGTGTTGTTCTTTGCTTTGGTTCTTCATGACTCTGGCATTACCCTGACTCCTTTTGAGTCAAGATTGATGCTGTCACTTGGAGCATAGTTCACCATCCACACAAGATGAGCTCGACCGGAGCCTGACTGTCCCTAAATACTCTAGGCCATACTTTCTTCCTATCTTATCTAAGACTTGAACTATTAGAGTTTTTTGGTTTTGTTGTTGTTGTTAACATTATTATTACTTTTGCTTTTGTTTATGTTAACAAAAATAAGAGACAGTAGGGCTGGGGATGTAGCTCAGTGACACAGCACTTGACTGGCATGTGTGAGGTGCTGGGTTCCATTGCCAGCACACACCTCCCAACAAAAACGACAGTACTTATGTGGGAGGAGATAGAGTATTTCTCCTATGACATTAATCTGAGCTCAGATTGTCTTGTGAGGAACGGTGCTATTTCATTGGGAGATAGCAAAAGGAAGCTGTTGGTTGTTGAAAAGTGGGGTGGGAAGTGAGGTGAATGGTCAGGCAGGGCTGACCACAGACAGTAGGTTACCAGAGGTGGGGGTCTTATGTGTTTGTGGGAGTGTTGGATGCTGCTCTGGTCTGACCCCCTGAGACAGGCTTGGTCTCTAGTGTGGTGGCATGGAGGGAGGTGATGGACCTTTAAGAGGTGGGGCCTTGTGGAGGGTAATTGGGTTCTGAGACCTGACCCTGGGAGGGATAATACAGGTGTGGAGGGACTGGACTATGTGAGAGCAGGTTGCTGGAGCTTCCCTCGACTCCCTCCTGCATGTACACTATTCACCACTATTACACAAGTTCTTACTGTATGTGTCAGCTTTTTGTCCCTGGGACAAAATGCTTGAGAAAAACAACTTAAAGGAGAAAAGATGTATATTCAGACATTTCAGTCCATAGTCAGCTGGCTCCATTGCTCGGGGCCTGAAGTGAGGTGGAACATCATGGTAGGAAGGGCATTGGGAAGGAAAGTGGCTCATCACACAGCAGCCAGAGAGAGGGAAAGAGAGAACAGAGAGGATGGTACCAGGGACAAGAAATACTCTTCCAGGGCATGCCCCTAATGATCTACTTCCTTAAACCAGATCCCACTGCCACAGCCTCTACCACTTCCCAGAAGTCCATTCAGCTAACAACAGATTCATCCACTGCCAAGGGCAGAGCCCCCATGATCCAATCACTTCCTCAAAGCCCCACTTTTGAATATGGCTGCTTTGGGGACCAAACCTTCAACATATGAACCTCGGGGGAACATTCCAGGTCCAAACTATAGCACTCAACAGTATGAATGCCATCTGTCATGAGGCTCTCACTAGAGCCAAGCACATGTAAATGCTATAGTCTTGAAACTCCAGGACTGTGAGCTAAAATGAATCTCTTTTCTTTACAAAGGACCCAGAGCCTTAGGTATTTTGTGATAGCATTTGAAAATGGACTAAAACAGAGCTCATTGTCCAAGTCTACTTATTTCAAAATTTTGTCTAATCCATGAAAAAAAACTATCACCAAATTCTTCTGGTCAGATCCTCCATTTTAATGGAAAAGATACTGGTCACTAAATAAAAAGACTGGGATTTATGTCAAACCCCACCCATTTCTAAATTAGCCAAGTCACCAGAACACTTTGGAATTTGGGCTTTTCCACTATACAGATAAATGCTCTTATCCACAGTTTTGCTTTCTGTCAGTTCAGTTATCTGTAGTTAACTACAGTGTAAAAACATTAGATGGAAAATTCCAGAAATAATCAATTCATATGTTTCAAATTGAGCACTGTTCTAGAGAGTGTGATAAAACCTTGCACCATCCTTCTGGAGACATGAAGTGTCCTTTGTCCATAGTATCCACGCTGTATTCACTGAGATGACACAGCATCCAGTTCAAGTTCTAAAGACATCCAGGGAGCCTTTCCTGCTGCCTTCAGCTCTATGGTCCTCCCTCTTGCATAGAAAGTGTTAGAAGGTCAATTGTCCTTATCACCCATGATTACCAGTCTGGACTCTTCCCTAGGACATCTCTTTTTGTTGTTTATATTATTGACTTACTATGCACCAGCTATATATTTTTTGTTACTTTATGTACAGTCCATGGTCAGGAGAAACTCATTTGTTCTATTTTATTATTAGTTGTTTTTAATCTCCTCTTGTATCTAATTTATAAATTAAACTTTATTATAGGTATGTATATGTAGTAAAACTCAGAAAATATAAGATTCAGTATAGTCTATGTTTTCAGGCAACTGCTGAGGGTCTTGGAACATATCTCCTGTGGATATGGAAGGCCTACTATGAAATGAAATTGCATTCAGTGCTCTCTAAGTTCCCTCTTTAAACTGCTAAGTTTCAAGCCTTTTGAGAGCCTTGGTAGACTTTGCATCATACAGAAAACAAACAGCCCATGATGTTTACCTGTACTTATTTTTTTGGTTTGCTTTAGGTTGGGGCCGTGGTTGGTGGGGTCCTCCTTCTGGTGGTCACAGTTGCTGGTGTGGTGTTAGCGAAGGGATCGTGGAATTCAGACACCACCCTTCTGACCATCAGTTTCATCTTTCCTCTGATCGGCCATGTCACAGGCTTTCTGCTGGCACTTCTTACCCATCAGTCTTGGCAAAGGTACAGTTACATTATCCTTCACTTTTTTGGAGGAAGGTAAATTAAATACATCGCCACTGACAAGCCTGTCTTGCCTGGCTGCCTCAGGAGACAGGAAGAGCTTCAATGTACACGGCAGGTGGGACGGGACAGTTCAGCCCAGAGACAGTGAAGAGATCATGGTGATTTTAAATGTTAACTGCAGCAAAGGCCAAATTGACAGGAAGTTGTAATTTGTAAAATTAGTATTGGGGGTGTTGGTGCCATTTGTTGAGATCTGGGCACATTTCTCTTCATATTCAAATAATTAAATAGGAGGAATGAAGTCATTTCACTAAATGTAGAGATCACTTTAGGTCATGAACAAGTTTTAAGAGATTATATTCTTATCTGTTGTTTGTGCTAAATTTTTAAGAATTGCTAATTATGAGACACAAGAGGAGAAAGGACATAAACTGAGAAATAAGATAGGAATTTCACTTAAAAATTATATTACACTTTGATATATATGGTTTATAATATTATTGCAAACATTAAAAATGATAAACTTGCATGTCTCCATGCCTGCAATGAAATGCACATCATCATATAGTGATGGAGAGGAAGAAAATTGGAATAAATTCTCTGGAAGAAAAGTTAGTGTCATATCAACAGCCTTATAAATATGCATAATTGTTAACTCCACAATTTTACTTTCAAAAATCCGTTCTGAAGCTAGCTCTTTCAGATGTGCACATGAATACTGATATGCTAAGACATTAATTGCAGGATTATTTATAAAAATCAAAATGGAAGCAATTGAAATATCTAACAATAGGAGATACTTAATTCATGTTGCATCCATATGATGGATATGATGCATCAATTTTAATGAATCTGGAAAATACTCAAGAGATAAATTTTAGTTAAAAAGGAATAGAGGGCTGGGGATGTTACTCTGTGGTATCCTAGGTGCAATCCTCAATACTTCCCTGCAAAAAAGGATAGAAAATGATATTTATTTTGATTCCCATATTGTGAAAGAAAGCAAAAAGAATTTTATGCATGAAGAAAATATTGAAAAAAAAGTACCGTATGGTAATTTTGAGTAATGAGATTAAGAGTAATTATAGTTCTTTAATATTTTCTTGATTTATTTTCTAAGGTTTAAAAGTAAAGTTTGTTTACTTTTAAAATCAGAAAAAAAATATTAAAGGAAAGCAAATTATAAAGTTGAATTCTGAAGGTGAGTGTTGGGAAATTTTTAGTTGGCTTTGTTGCCAGTGTTCCACTGGGGAACTTTGAGCACTGGGAGAGGAATGGGCATGGCCCATTCACGAGGCATTGCATGGACAGCCAATCTGCATGGACAGGAGAGTTGGAGGAGATGAAAAGGAAAGTTGAGCTGTATGTGAAACAGTACAAATTAAATACTTGAAAACAAACAGGAAAACCAGATGTTAAAATGGTTGTCTTAGGGGCTGTAGCCATAGCTCAGTGGTACAGCACTTGCCTAGTATGGGTGACGCACTGGATTCGGTCCTCAGCACCACATAAAGTAAATAAATAAATGAAATAAAGTTATACAAATATATTTTAAAAAATGGTTGTCTTAGGTGAAAGGGCTCAGTAATTTTTTTCTATCTTTTAAAAAAGATATTTATTTAATTTTAGGTGCACACACAGTATCTTTATTTATTTTTATGTGATGTGTTGAGGATCAAACCCAGTGCCTCACACACATGAGGCAAGCACTTTACCACTAAGCTACAGCCCCAGCCCCTTTTTTTAACCTTTTTCCACATCAAATGCCTCTTCCACTCTTTCCATTCTGTAGTGTCGTTCCTCTGTGAAGCCTTCTCTATACAATTCTGCAACTTTTTTCAATTGCTACAGCCTGTTCCAGGCCCTTGATTTTGCTTTGTCACGTACTTCTACTGAACTTTTCTTTGTGTATATCTGGTCTTTCCTTAGGGCAGGGTTCAGAAGGTCCTGCTCCACAGTGCCTCTTAGAAAACCACCCCACAGAGCGGGCACTCGGCAAACAGCTGTTGAATGAATAAACACTTCTAGTTGCTTGAGCTCATAGTTTATCAGTTTGCATAAGAGCAAATGTTAGAATGGTGCTAAATTTTTTGTCATTGCCAGGTGCAGGACAATTTCCTTGGAAACCGGAGCTCAGAATATTCAGATGTGCATCACCATGCTCCAGTTGTCTTTCACAGCCGAGCACTTGGTTCAGATGTTTAACTTCCCATTGGCCTATGGACTCTTCCAACTCGTGGATGGAGTTCTCATTGTTGCAGGTGAATGGACTTTCATTGGGTAGATTTGACTAACAACCTAATTTACCAGCTCTTTTTTTGTGATTTGAACTTGTATGTGCTGCCCCCTGAATTATATTTTTAGCAGGACATTTTGGGGGATAATAAGGTGCATAAACACAATACTTTGATACAGTGGAACTTTCACAGAAAAATATTTTAAAAAACACCCAAATAGGAATTTATAATTAGAACCAAATATGCTTCATAAAAACCAAAGCACAATCAGCATTTAAATTCCAAGATGTGTCAGGATAAGCTCTCCATGAACAATCATCGATCTCAAAAATGACATTGACTGAACGCAAGCATTTATTTGTTATGTCTTATTAGGGGCCTTGAGGTTTCCCAAATGCCAAGTTACTTCAATGTTTCTGTGACTATGATTTATGCCAAATGGTTGTGAAATTTTTTCAAATATAAAATATAATACATATATAAGCATATTCACAAATATTAAAAATTTATACACATGCATACTACACACACCGTTTACCTCAATACAGCTAAAAGCATGTTATTTTGGAGTTGATTTAATTTAAGTTTAAAAACATTTAAATACATACACATATATATATATATATATTTTGATCTTGGGCCATTATAAATTTTCACTGTTCCCAGGGAACAGGTTCTAAGTAAGATTCAATGATTATGGGTATAAGTGATTATATACTGATTACTGATAATAAATATACCAATGCTAGCAGAATAAAACTTCTGGTCTGAGATCAAAGTTTTGGGGAAGAATTATGACTGGCTCATCCCCAGATACATCCTAGCAAGTGTGTGACTCAGTAAGCCCTCCACTGATCAACTGACTTATGGACTGAATGAATGAATGACCAAGCTTTCCACAGTCTGAAGAACGAACCATTTTGACACACTGAATTGTTTCATTCCATGGTTTCCCTCTCCCCCTCTTTCCCAGTGTATTTATACTTCAGTGATGCAAAGCAAACTCCCCAAGTGTAGGATAATGACACAGTGTCCCTGGATTATACTCTTTGCTAAAGTGGTGTTTAATAATCATATGTTTGATCACCTAGCATATCAGATATACAAGAGGAGACTGAAGAACAGACCCAGAAAAAGGAACCCAGATTGTGCAGAAGTCTGCCATGACAAAAAATGCAGAGAGGCCAGTGCTTTCTTGGAGGTGCATGAAGAAGCTGCTGGAACCCTTGAGCCATCAGGACCAATGGATCGCCACAGGGCTCTGGAGCCCATTGGCCACGTCACTTCATGTGAATAGTGGGGACTTGCTGGCCAGAGTGTGGTCCTCTGTCTTCCTCAGTGATGGGTAAAGACGGGGCCGCGCGGATGCAATCTCCTTGGTTGGCAGGACCTGTGTGAATAGTTAAGTGTCAGATGTTAGAATACTTATATTTTTGTGTGGATTGTGCAATGTCATAGGATCACTTTTTGAGTGTATTCTGCCCATTTCAGGGAGTTTTGGGGGGTTTACACTGGGTTTTTCCTAGCTGCTGTGTGTGTTCTTGTTGTCCCATGAGGTGAATAGTGCCACCTGGCAGGAGGTAATGCCCTTTATTATGTAAAGTTGTCTCTTGTTTGGATTTTAATCTAATGACAGGACTCTGTGTAGAGGTGATATCATCTCTGCCAGGCAAGGTAGAGTCTGGATCCACATAACTTCCTGACTTTGGGCAGGTCCTTGGGAGTACAAGGGAGGACACAGTTGTGAAAAATGGGGCCCTTTTCTAAATGATTGTTTCTTAAGGGCTTGAATACCTTTTTGATTATAGATGTAATATAAGCTTAGAGGGAATTTGAAGTAAACAGGTTAAAAAGTGTATGAATTCCTCATATTTTCATTCCCTAGAGATAGACACATGTCTTTCTAATCTTCATGTATATAGACTGAGTCATTCAAAAAATGTTCAATATATTCTGTATTGAAAGTCATTTGATGACATATGATAGAACATCTCTACACTTCAGTTTGTGTTTACCTACCTCATTCTTTAGAACAGTGGCTGCATAGATATATTGCATTGCATAGAAGGACTATAATTTATTTAACCCATCTTTATAACTTTCAATTTATTTGGTATTGCAGTGCTGCTACACTACCCTTGCCTGTGTGCAAGCATTTCAGGAGACTCCATTCCTATGATTGGATTGGGCAGGCCCGTTGCCCATAGAAATATTGGACAGATTGCTCTTTGGCAATGTGGCGCAGCAGTACCGAGAGGGTCCAGTTTCCCATGGCTTCACCAGTCTAAGGAAGATTTTTTTTTTTTCTTTTTGGTACTCGGGATTGAATCCAGGGGTGTTCTGCCACTCAGATACATCCCCAGCTATTTTATTTCTTATTTTGAGACAGGATCTCACTAAGTTGCCAAGGCTGGCTTCAAACTTGTACTCCAAAGAGTTTTGGTCACTTTGACTTGTGAAAACATCTCTTTAAAATTACATATTCAAAACTACAAGCAAAGTAGAGCATTTTCCATGATCATGTGCCCATTCATGTCCTTTGCCTGCTTTTCTGTTTTATTTTTTCATAGGTTGATTTATAGATTTTAACATGATAGTGACTATGTATATGTTCTATGTATTATCAACGTTTTACCTATTATGTATATTATCTCATTTTTACAAAGTGTCTCTTGTTGTACAATTTTGTATTTTTTACACATTCAGTTTTAGTAATCTTTTAAAAAAGTTTTAAGATGGGCCTAGTGGCACATGACTTAATCCAAGCTACTTGGGAGGCTGAAGCAGGAGGATCAAAAGTTCAAGGAAACTTAACGAGACCCTGTCTCAAATAAAATAAAATTTAAAAAGGGCTGGAGATGTAGCACTTGCATAGCCACATGCAAGGCCCTGGGTTCCATCCCCATCAATGCACAAAAATAAAATTAAAAACAATAAAGTTCAGATACTTCTGGATTCAGGAAGATTTTAAAATTGACACAAGTTTTGAGGACATAACTCAGTGGTACAGCACTTGCCCTAGTATGCATGAAGCCGTAAGTTCAATTCCCAGCACTGCCAAAAAAAAGCTCCTCAAAACAGGACAAAGTGTTAGGTACTAAGGAATGGTGGAAACTGAAGCAGACATGGAAAGGTACACACTTCCACTGTGCATGTTTTCTTTGTCCTTATTAACAGGACTGAGATTTTGTTCAGTGTTGCAAAATGCCTAGCTAAAAGTATTTTTTTTTTCTCTTGAAGTTAGAGGTGTGCATGTGACAAAATTCTTGCTAATGAGATTGAAGCAGAAGTCTGCTTATGGTTCCTGGGGAGTCTTGCTTTCTTGCCCTAGGCACCAACAGACCCTTTCTCCTTGTCAGTTTCTATTTCCTTTTGGATCATAGATGTAATAGCAGAGCTGCCCCAGCAATTCTAGATCATGAAGGAAAGATCAGGATAATTATAGAACTTGTGACTTATTTTTTTTTTTTCCTTTTCATTCCTGGACATTGAATTCTGAAGATTTTATGCACGCTAGGCAAGTGCTCTCTCACAAGCTACACTCCCAGCCCTTTTAAATTTTGAGTGTCTTGCTAGGTTGCTTGGACAGCCTCTAACCTTGTCTTCCTTCTGCCCCATCCTCCTGAGTAGCTGGGATTACAGGCATGTGCCTCAGTGCCTGGCAAGCTGTTGACATTCTTGAGCTATAGAATCAATCCTAGCAACAGCCAACTTCTGAAATTGTTTCCTTAAGGAAAGGAAATAAATCTTTCATTTGTGTAAGCACATTTGGTTGTTTTTTTGATACTTGCACTCAAACACATTCCCAAACCAGTGTATTAAAATTTTGTTGGTTTTAAAATTTTATGTGGGCTAGCCTATAATTTGTCACATTTATCTGCACCATAACGAGGTATCTTGAATATTTCTGAATTAAGGAAAATGGGAATCTTTTCTTTCATTATCAACAAGCATAACTGTGATAAGCTGTTCTTTTAATTTCTTGGATTTATCACATTACATTTCAATAACTAGTTATTTTTAAATGAAGAGATCTGGCAGGCTGCTCTGAAGCCACAGATTTAAAAAAAAAGTCTGATCTCTTCTCAACACACATTTTTCTCCTGTTTATCATAACAATTCAGAAACATCTATACTAATGACATGTACCATAGTTTTGATTTTGAGATAAAATTATGTTTTTAATTCTCCAGTGCTCAGGATTATACTAAGATACCATTTGTTTTTTAATTAACACACATTCCTTGTTCATAATAATGGGATTCAATGTTACATCTCCATACAAGCATACAGCATGCCCTGATCATATTCATCCACCCTTGCCCTCACCCCACTTTCTCAGTCCTTAGTAAGTACCATTCTTTAAGGCGGACCTTTTTTTTTTTTTTTCCTTCCTTTTTAGTTTTCACATATAAGAGGGAATTTGCAGTACTTGTTTTTGTGTCTGGTTTTTTGTTTTGTTTTAACACAATATTCTCTAGTTCCATCCATTTTGTTGCAAATGACAGGATTTCACTTTTCTTTATAGTTGAATAATACTCTCTCATGTGTATAATACCATATATTTTTTTTTATCCATCCATCTGTTGATGGGCACCAAAGCTGATTCTATATCCTAGCTATTGTGAACAGTGCTGCAATAGACATGGACATGCAGGTGTCCCTTTGTATGATTTTATTTTCTTTGGACACCTACCCAGGATCAGGATACCCAGATCATATGATAGTTCCATTTTCAGTGTTTTTGTGAAACCTCTATGATTTTCCTCATGGTGGCTAAACAAATTTACAGTCCACCAACATTTTATGAGTGTTTGTTTTCTTTACATCTTATCCAGCATTTGTTATTTTAGAATATATTTTGGTTCACTTTTATACATATCTTCTATTAAGACTTGTACTTTCCCTTCTCTAGCACTGAGTTGTCACAGGGAAACAGCTGTTCGGCCAACTACACTTTCCAGCTTCCTGGTACTTGGGGGCTGTCAATCAGCCAGTTCTTGCTGATGGAACGAGTGGCAGTGATGTGCTTCACTTCCAGTCCTGGCCTGCCTAATAGAACCCTCTCCACATGTTCTCTTTTTCCTTCTGGCGGTAGGAATGGAGATTCACAGGATGACCTTGGAAGCACATTTGTTAATCATAGAACTTCCATCAGCCTGAGTTCTTAAAAATGGAGAAAGGAGAGCTGCCCTGTTGGGTCGTTTGCCTGCCCAGATTTGTTATATAAACTAGAAATAAACTATTATGCTTGATCCACTAAGTTTTGGGTTTATGTTTTATAATACTTAGCTAATACAAAGTCTGTGAGGAGCTAGGCTGTCTTTATACATTAATGTGATATTTGAGTTTTTTCGGTGCCTGGGCTCTGTGGCCTCATCTTTCTAAACAGAGTGGTCTTAGCAAGTGACTCATACGATTCCATGGTGGTGGAGCCAGATCCCACAAAGCAGGCAGTAATGGGTTTATTATAATCAAGTTTCCACTCAGGGGTCATAAACCTAAACCTAAATTTTTTTTCTCAGTTTCCATTTCCTAGTTACATTCTTTCCAGAGAAAGTATCCTCCAGCTTTGCCCTCTCCCATCTATGCTGACTTCTGATGGTAGCTAATTGCCCTCAGCTGTACTGGCTCTTGGAGCTTTGCCTTGTGTCTCCACATGCCCAGGAAAACAAGGCCTCAGGATTCCAACTCACTCAGAACAGAGATTTCCAAGTGTTTTTAAAGTAACAAAAACCTTTTTTTTTTTTCCTTTTCCCAAATGATAATTTTGTTTATAATTAAAGTTTATAAAAGAAGTCTTCTGATTGAAGTGGGAATGGTGGTGGTGAAGCTTCTCTTGCCAGATTCAGATACCATTCTGAGTAGGAGCCAAACCTGTTACCTGGCAAGGGAGTCAGGAGATCACCAGGAAGCTTTATTTATTTACTGATACGGTCTTCTGCCTTCAAATAGCCTCAGCTCCTTAGGAACAGGTCCCAGTAAATCACTGCACTTGGTTAGGATCACAAATTCAAATCAATTAGCTCCAAATTGATATAGTCTTATGATGAACCAGGGAGTGTTCTGGGTCTTGGAGTGGTGTCAGGGCTGAATGGAAGGAGACAGAATTCGGATTTAGCAAAACAAGTTCAGTATTGAGAATCACAGAACCGTAAACTAAAGCAGGCATTCGGAGGCTGAGCTGTTTTCCTTCCTATTTGGCAAAACCAAATAGAAACCTCTCAGGCAGTACAACATTGGTTTCCTTGATTACTCCTTTTGGTTAACTGACTATTCTAAGTGTTACTTCAAACAGGTCTTAAAATACTCTGATTTATGTATCAACTAAGTGTAGAAAGTGGGCACCACTTACAGGGAGGTAGAAGTTTCTTCTACTTAGCTTCTGTTAAGCCAGACATGACCCTCATGACAGTGCTTAATGACGATCTCTACAGGATGATGACAAACTCCCATTCTCTGTTGCCTGGACTGACTGGGACCAGCTGGGGAGATGGGAAGTTGGGGTCCAGAGGTCACTGGCTTCCCAGAGGACTGTGTGTTGTGATAAAAAAACGGAAAGTATCTGTCTACACAGTTTTGGCTGTTCATGTTTTAAGGTGTATTTTTATTTACAAAGTGAGAATGATACATTACAAACAGATGACACAGTTACAAACAGCTGATAAATCCATTTTCATGAAAAAGTATATAAATATATTACAGGAAATTCTATATAGTAAACATTAGAAATTGACATGGTAAACATTTGCTACCTTTTTTCTATGCCAATATTACTGTCATTTAAAGCTTAAATACTGGTTTCAAGTATCCTCTATAAAATACCTCTACTTTATTAAAATACTGGAAATTTTTTTTTTTTTTTGCTATAAACAAGATTGGTACATTAAAAATAGACTCGGTGTATCCTGTAACAATGTCCACTATAATCAAATGCTGCCTCTAGCCTTTAGACCTGAATTGTTCAGTTAGTGTTAAACATTTTTTAATAATTGTCATTGGTTATGGTAGCTGTAAAAATACAGCATTTTTCAACACTATTTATTGTTATAAAGAATGCCCCTCCAAGGTAGAGGAGAATAAGCATAATATTGCATGGCCTTGCTGCTCTATAACTCTTATTTTAAGTAGAGAGCAGGAGTTTGTTGGAGGTTCAGGAGAGATACGGAGACATCCAGAAGGCTGTTCTTTCCCTGTTATTTAGAAAGCTGAGGCTGGTCTTTTTGCTCTTCTTCAGCCTGAAGACGTGTCAAGACATAGAGGATGACTTGATAGCAGAAAATATATTGATCCTATAGCCAACAAAACAAAACCACAGCAATGAATACACAGAGAACTTTCAATGTGTCACAAATATCATACTCAGCTACACCCTTAATAGAAGCAATGTTTGAGGAGTTTAGAAAATATGGAAAATTTTTGTTTAAATGCTAAATGTCAGAAACATTAAAAAGCAGCCTACAGAATTGTGTAGTATCAGAAAAATTATAAAAAAACAGAAACCGGATTGACAATATGAGGGGGAAAGCCTGGGAGTTGGAGGTGGTGGTATTTAGAGAACTAAGTGAAGTTGTCTCCGATTGGCAGCCATTTCTATTTTTGTGCTTTGATAATATTTCACGAAAATTAATTTCCTTCATAATTTCTGCTAGATTTATTGAACTCACCTTAATGTTTCAAAATACCAAAAATTTAATATAAAGAACCTACTAAAATGATTTCCTTTAAATAATTTAGAACAAAAGAATATACAAAGAGAGAAATCAAAGTTTGGTGAAATATAATTGATATTTACATATTCTTTAAATATGAAATCTTTTCTTTCAATATTTTAGAAAAAAAGAATATTAAAATCAAAGATTTTTGAAAATGAATCCTTGTGGTTCTCAAAATTATTCTCTATAAGTTGATGGTATTGGTATCTGAGTTTTTTTATTTTTGTTGTTGTTGTTATTTTGTTGTTATTAGCAACTCTCTGAAAGTAGGATTATGAGTAGCCTTTTAATTTTCTTGGTGCTCACCTGTATTTTAGCTTTTCTGCATTTGCCACATCATCTCTCTTTCTCTTACATTGCCTACAACTCTTTGGCAAATACACTTCACATAATGTCTTCCTCTGTCCACACCCACCACTCTGGCTACAGGCCTATGATAACTCCCATGTACTTAGAGGAAAGCCCAAGATCTGGCTCCTATCACTTCTTCTCTGACTTCACATTCTCCCACTCTCCTCTGTACTCTGGTCATGACCGTTCTTGAACCTGTACTTACTTGTGGTCCACTCCCACTTAGACTTCCATGGAGGCAGTGGACTCTGCCTGAAGGCTCCCCCAAATAGCTTCATGACATCTTCCTTCAAATCTCTGCTTAAGTGTTACCTTCCCAATGGTAACACTATTTAAAATTATATCCACAATCTGCCATGACTGATTCCCTTTACCTACATTTCTTTTTTCAGAAGAGTACTTTCTTAGATCCTATATAATTCATTGTACATATTTAACATATTTATGGTCTGCCATCCTTATTGCAAATCCTGCTAGAATTCCTCTGTTACTCTAGCAGGATCTGACTAAGTTGGTATGATTGTTTGAACTCAGGAATCCCAGGCCAGCAGCCTGGACAACACTTGGACAGCCCATCTCAAAAAAAAAAAAAGCTTAATAAGAACTTTTTAAACTATTAAGATATTAAGAATCTTTATAAATTTCTTCTTCAAATAGGCCTAGACTTACCTCTGTCTGAACCATTCCATGTCTTTGTAGTCTCATGCAGCGCACTAAATCAGAAATGTCAAACTGCCCAAGAAAATAGAACGTACACGTTAGATAAAAAGGGAAAAGAACCACATCCCCAGCCCTATTTTGTATTTTATTTAGAGACAGGGTCTCACTAAATTGCTTAGCCTCTCACTTTTTCTGAGGCTGGCTTTGGACTCGAGATCTTCCTGCCTCAGCCTTCGGAGATACAGGTGTGCACCACCGTGTTCTTCACTTTCTAGTAGTTTTGGGAAACTGTCTTAGACAAAATGACTTAGAGAACTGACTTTGTCATCAGTTGGTATTCTTATTTATGATCTAAGAATTAGAGTAGGTTATTATCCTATCTAAAACTCTGTAACAAAATTTCTCTTTCCTAAAATTTGGCTAATTTCTTTTAATTAAAAAATATAAACTACTTTCCTTAGATATTGCATTTCTGAATAAAATTCTATATTTTTTGATTTTAGCTGACATTTAACAGTTTGAAAAAAGGACAAAATAGACTATTTGGTTTTGTTCTACATAAATTATTATAGTTGATATTATAAGAGTATGTAAAGTACAAAATAGAACTACTTTTAACAAATCTTTAAAAGACAATTATTGGCTTGGGAGGCTGAGGCAGGAGAAGTGCGAGTCCAAAGCAAGCCTCAGTAACTTAGTGAGACCCTATCTTTAAATAAAATATAAAAAAGGGTGGGGATATGGCTCAGTGGTTAAGTGTGTCCCTAAGTTCAAACCCTAGTACCAAAAAAAGAAAAGAAAAAGACAATTATATTAATTACATATTCTAGTTTCTGTTATTTTTACATAGATTTATACTAATTAGATCTAAAAGTAAGATTATACTCATATTTGCTTGGTTTATTTAGTAATAATTTTTTAAATTGGGAGTAACTGTTTAGAAAGAGACAATTTAGCATTAATTTGTATAACAAAATGTACATTTCTTATACATTTTCTTTTGTACAATATTTTTTAAAAAAATATTTTTAGTTGTAGATGGACACAATACCTTTATTTATTTATGTTTATGTGGTACTGAGAATCAAACCCAGTGTCTCACAGATGCTAGGCAAGCACTCTACCACGGAGCTACAACCTCAGCCCTATACATCAATATTTCTATCCCCAAAGTGTGATGAAAATTCTGACTTTAATCTTATACAGGCATAAAGACTATAAAGGATAAAAATGCAACACTGCATATGGGGCTTTTGAGCACACTATTAAAATACACATTATTTTTTAAAAAATATTTTTTAGTTCTCAATGGATATTTATTTATTTATGGTGCTGAGAACTGAACCCAGTGTCTCACACATGCTAGGCAAGTGCTCTACCACTGAGCCACAACCCCAGCCCTAAAATACACATTATTAAACAGAGTCTAGCATAATTTCTGATCATATGCAGATTCAGAATATATCTTGTACTCACTTCAAGATCTTGACTGATTAATCCCAGAACCACATCTATGCATATCAGGGTCCCTGAACGTCCAATGCCAGCACTGCAGTGCGTAATGATTGGGCCTGACTTATGGACGTATCTCATGTAAGAGATAAACGTGAGCAGGTCATCCGGCTGAGAAGGTGTATCGTGGTCTGGCCAGGCAGTGAAATTCAAATGAAAAATATGTCGCACCTCTCCTGTCTGAAATTGTAAAACAATTAGTATATAATGTCATGCAATATTATTCCTACATAATTAGTTCTTAGTATTATTTTGTCCTGTCAAATTTTGAATTGTGTATTGGATCAGATCAAAAGAAGAATGCAACAGGTGAAAGAATTCCATTAAGAAACATATGGAGTGCCGGGGATGTAGCTCAATGGTAGAGAATCTGTAGAAACCTGTGAGTTCGATCCCCAGTGCTGCAAAAAACGAAACAAATAAACAAACTAAAACTAAAACAAAGCCACAAAAAACACATGGAAAGCCTTCAGCAAGAAGGCTGCTAGATCCACTTTTTTTCAGTGATGGAGATTGACCTAGGCCTTGTGCATACTAGGCAAGAGCTCTCCTACTGACTGATATCCTCAGACCTATAATGAATCTTTAAATACACTGGACACAGGGCTAGGGCTCTAGGGCCTGTGACTGGAATGTCCTCCCTCTTCCCACCCCCAGTTATGCCTCTGTGGCTCACTCAACAACTTCAATTTTTCTCACATGCCATTTCTCAAGCCTTCCTTCACTATTGAAAATGCAACATGCTTCTCCCTCTCCCTCATCCAAGCACTATTGACACCAGTATCTCTTCATTAGGAAGTAAACCTCATGAGGTGTGGAATTTTTTTTTGTCTGCGTTGTTAACTGCTCAATCCCTAGGGCCCTTTAACAGGGACTGAGCTCTACAAATCTGTGTGGATTAAGTGACCAAATCACTTGAGGAATATTGAACAACTGTGCTAGCCTCTGTGATAGGTAAGCTAGTGTATGTGAATAAAGAGGTATATATCATATGGTACCCATGAATACATACAATTTTTATATGTCAAAACAAATTTTAAGTTAAACAATAAGTATAATCTTTAATTCTCTGTAAAACAACAAATCACAGACTACATTTACATGCCAACCACAAAATTGCACTGATATACTTTGCTTCTGTGAAAGTAAACCATCTTGTTTCTTTAAAAAAGCTAACCAACCAGTAGGAAATACATTACTCACCATAGCACCCATTATTGGAGAAGGGTGTAGTAAGGGCAGGGAGGACAGAAGCGAGAAAGCAGCTGTAACTCTACTTAAGGTCTGACCACTTACCTAACTCAAGCTAAATGTACTTGGTGTTAGTGACTACAGTAAAACAAATGTCAATGTTAAAATTGTCCATTTATTTTCAAATGTGGAAAAGCTACCTTTTTGAGGGATATTTTCAACTCAGAAATTTTAAAAAACTCTTCAAATAGAGTCAACTTTGAATTTGACCTTGAAAAATAAGTTTCCAGGGCTGCGGTTGCAGGTCAGTGGTAGAGTATTTGCCTAGCGTGGATGCAGACCTGGGTTTGATCCCCTTACTGCAAAACCAAAACAAACAAACACAACTCGCAGAAGTTTCTATCCCATAGCTTCTGAGCTATTTTGTGCTATCACTAAACAATGGATGACAAATGATCATGTATTCATTTTCAATCTAATACAGTACACCCTGGAGGAAATTCATGAAGAGGGTCTCATTTAAAATTTTTATGCTTGATAAGAAAAAAGCAGGGGCTTGTGATTTTTAATCTAAAAATATATAGACGTAACCATGGCAAGAGTCCTGGCCTGGTTTCCAATGAGGAGATGAGGCTGACTACATGGAAAGCTTTAATTCACTCACCTGAATGTCTTCTAGGGTCAATGCCCTCACTACAAAACCCTTCAGCTGTTGCAATCTCACAAGAGCCAGCCGAAGTCTGTCGTTGGCCATTGTTGTTTTGCCCAGGATGTTAGGCCAATAGCGCTGGCACTTGATTTTTTCTCCTTCTACTTCTTGGGTCATCATGGCTATCACTGTGGATTTTTGTTCCCAGATCATCTGCCAAAAATCTCCAACAGTGGTAGGAAGGGGCCCCTGGCAGGCAATGTAAAGAAACTCTTCCTTCCCCACTGGTATCTTGATGAAACTGGCATTAATATATCCACCTTCATCTCCAAGAGGCACTCTTGTGGCATCATCTGTGAATTTCCCACCACAAAACCATTTATATTATATATTGTTAAACAAGAGTCAGAGAGCGTAAATCAAAGCTCATGGGAAATTCTTATAACCATAGCTGCAATCAGAAACACATTTTAATAGAAGTATATTTTAAAAATGAAGCACAGCAAATGATTTTACATCTACTCCTTTCACTCATATTTAAGAATATCTAAGATGTCAGCTTTGTGAGTTTCTCATGTTTGAAATTTTGATAGTTATTATTTACATAAATTTGGTTAAAGAAATAAAAACAGATGCATATTGAACTTCATAATAACTAGAGGGGGCTGGGGTTGAAGCTCAGTGGTAGAAAGCTTGCCCAGCACATGTGAAATATTAGATTCAATCCTCAGCACCACATAAAAATAAATAAATAAAATAAAGGTATTAAAAAACATTAAAAAATTAAAAAAACTAGAGAAATAAGCAAAAACAATATTTCTACTTCTACTCCATCAATATTTTAATGCCAATGACAATAATAATAGTACTAAGTGACAATGCCAAACACCTTTTCATATAATAAAAGTTGATATTATTGTGTCATTAAATAACTTACTACAAATACCATTGGCATAAATAACCCTTGTGGCTTATTTTATACTTTTTATTAGTCATCCGAAGAATAACAATAAATAAAAAGGAAACTCATTTGCACATAGACCATCTTTGTCTAATTATAACTTTGTAGAGTCAAAATACAATCTTTAAAACTAGGCTGCCCCAATGAAAAGTATGTAGCTCTCTTTTATTGAAGTTTTACAGTCAACGGTTTATCAAGAAAATAAATTTGTATGCACGTGTACATTAGAAGTCATTTTTAGTTCAAATATCTGTAAATTTCACTAGTAATTTTGGTGATTATCAAATTAAAACCTTTTTGTTTTTTGTTAGTGGGGATTGAACCTAGGGGGTGCTCTACTGAATTATATCCCAGACCTTTTAATTTTTTCTTTTGAGGCAAGGTCTTTCTTAAGTTGCCCAGGCTGGACTAGGACTTGTGGTCTTGCCTCAGCCTCCAGAGTCTCTGGGATTACAGGAGTGAACCACCATACCCGGTTTAATTTAAAACCTTTTAAAGATAGGTTTCAAAATTCTCTTTGTTATTTGACTTCTATCCCGTAGGCCATCCTAGCTGTTTGTTTCATGGAAATGAGTTCACTAATTAGTTTTTTATTTATGACTTATCCCATTCTGATTTGATATTCTCATCTGGGCTTTTTTTTTTTTTGTCTTAAAATAACTCCCACCTACTTTATGACCTATTCCATTTTTAAAAGGCCAAGATTCACTTTTTATAGGAAGTTTTTCAAAATAAACTTTGTATCTTCCATCATGATTGAAAACTTCAAGTGCATTATTATTGAGTGCATTATTTGACATTGTTGGGTTTGTGTAAAGATAAGGTCAGTGTGTTATATGTTGTAATCCAAAGTGCTAATATGTAAATTTGGCTGATAATAACTAAAAGAAGTTGCTAGAGCTTAATTTCCTTTCCCTTCCCTTCCTTTCTCTTCATTTCCCTTCATGCTGGGAATTGAGCCCAAGGTCTTGCTCATGCTAAGCAAATTATCACTGAGTCATATCTTTATCCCTTACAGTTTAATATTTTGGCTATGTACATATACTTGTACAAAATTTTTTAAAAAATCAAACTGTTGGTTGGTGAAATGGGCAAAACATAGCTTAAAATAATGCTTTTTATTTTCTTCTGGTGTCTAAATGATGTCTAATGTAACTTTTTTTTTTTGGTGCTGGGGGTCAAACCCAGGGCCTGTGTATGCTAAACAAAGACTCTACATCACCAGCCCTCAAAGTCTGGTAGTTTCACTATAGTCATAACCATGTATATAGCTACTAACACCACTGACATGTCTGTAAACTTAAAGTAAAGTGGAATAAATTGATGGTGGTTGTGACATGAATCCAAAAAGTCTCATCCAAAAGCCAATTCATATTTTTAAAAAGACTTTAAGATTTCTCTGAGTTTTAGAATATATAGATAATTTTAAAAAGAATTCACATTGTATATCTAAATTTGCTACTGATGCAAATCTCTGAAAGTGTTATGTATGTACATGCTTATGTGATGGATAGATAGGCTAAACTAGCATACAGACTTTAAATCAATTTAAATTATATTGAACATACATTTAATGTAAAGCCAAATTGGAACTTACAGGGAAGTATATTTTTGTATCTGTTCTTCTTTCTGTTTTCCTTAGTCTGTCCAATTAGGCATTGATCCAAAGGCTTTAATTCTTGAAGATTCTATAAGCAAAGTTGCAAATAAAGTTAAATGTGTTGAGAAAAGCAGTAATTCAGCAAATGTTTTCAATGTGTTGGGTACAAAATTAGTTGACTGAAATGACTAGGTGTTAAGAAATAAACACAACCTAAAGTAAACCTAAAATTAATACTGACTTGACAAATAAGTGTTGAAATATATTATTGCAAGCACCTTTAAATATGTTGCTCTCAATTAACTTTATGAAATAGTACCTTGTGTCAAAAGTTTTAAATCCAGTTTCAAAATGTCTGCAATTATTTTTTTAGAAAAGAATATACCTTATAAAAATAACTTTGGCTTAATAATGTAGAATAAGATTTCTTTTTAAATTTTTTTATGTGTTCTTTTTAGTTATACATGACAGTAAAATGTATTTTGACATATTATATATGGAGTATAACTTCCCATTCTTGTGACTGTACATGATGTGGAGCTATACTGGTTGAATCAGACATACGTTCACATACTCATGTATGAAAAAGAACGTACATCTGATTCATTCTACTGTCTTTCCTATTCCCATACCCCCTGCCTTCCCCCATTCTCCTTTGTCTAATTCAGTGAACTTCTATTCCACCTGCCCCCACCTGCCCCTTATTGTGTGTTAGCATCACCTATCAGAGAGAACATTCAGCCTTTGGTTTTTGGGATTGGCTTATTTCACTTATCATGATAGTCTCCAGTTCTATCCATTTACTGGCAAATGCCATTTCATAGAATACAATTTCTTGACAGCATTGCCTGTGGGGTGATAGACTACTCCATACCTGATATTGTTGTGGTCAGATAGTCCACTATTGTAAAATCAATTCTCATTTTTCATTCATTCCCTTATTTAAAAAATACACATTGAATGTCTATTATATGCAAGGTACTATGGTAAGTGCTGGGAACACAGTAGTGAGCAAAAAGATATACTTCTGGTTTTCATAGAACTTATATGCCATTGTGAGAAAGAGGCAATAAAGAAGTAAATAAACAGGTATTGAATATGGGCTTTGGGGATATTAAAAAGCTGCTATGATAGTGAAAAATATAGATCAACTTTATAAGGATTGTGATAGAAGTTCTCCGATGATGACCTTTAACCCTAAGAACTTAAGACATCATTTCCAGGAGCTGGAGGTATATAGCTCAGTGGTAGAGCGCTTGCCTGGCACGTGTGAGGCACTGGGCTCGATCCTGAGCACCACATAAAATAAATAAAAATAAAGTATTAAAAAAAAGATAGAAAAGTATTTTTTTAAAGGTATTTCCACAAAAGAGATTTGGAGAAAGGAGGAGTATACATTCATTCCTGTGAGCTTCAGTTTTGCAATCTACACAATAAGTTTTTTGACTTACAAAAATCAAAGCAACAAGCACAGCAGATGCTCCCAATGAAAGTTAGCTCCCTTTAAGGGTACTGAAGCTCAGAAGTGGTCAACTAAACGGTTTGAGGGAGAGGGGCAAGGTCAACCCCTAAACCACAGTGGTGCCCTGTTTCCTCTCACCTAGTGGCAAAGATGGATGGTGCCACAAGATCATAGGGGCAAGGGCTCTGAACCACTGCTGCTTTGAATAGGGTGCACATTCTTTACAAACTGCTGTTAATAATTAACCATATCATATGAAGTTTAGTAGAGAGTTAGGATTTTTTAAAAAAAACTTTTTATTGTTATATATGTGGTAGGGAAAATAATCTTCAGAGAGAATTTTTACCAAGTTCTGAGTAGTTAATATGATCTCTTTTAATCAATATCATTAGGGTTCTGCTTAGAAAAATAGATTTACTGCCGGAGATGACAAGATGGTGCTTCTATAGTTGGAAATGAGTTGACTACAAGTAGAGTTGGAAAGTAATAGGCACTTTCAAAATGTCTCCTAACCTTGGGTTAGTTAGTAAGGACACATTTCCCTTACAAATAATGTAATGGTTCTTTGTAAAGAAAAGATCCCTTGGCAGGTGCACTTACCTCCAGCTCTTTAGAAGGAATTCCTTGATCAAGTAAACCCCGTAACATTCGAATGACAGATTTTAACTTGGCCCCGGTGTATTTGCCAGAGGGAGCCACCTTGACCACAGGGAGTGCAGTGAGCTCCTCATTTGTCAGAAAAAGATGATCTAATAAGAAGACCAAATGTATATTATTCTAATAAATATTAATGTTTATGTTTAGATAAAAAAACAAACAATCTCAGGTAAGTAGTGAACTCAGATTTTGTTTTATAGTTACTTTTAGTCTTGTCAACTCCTTGAATTAAATAAAATTGTGCACATAAATCAAGTTGATATAATCATGGTGTTTGGGGGACTCAGAAATGGCACCCCAAAATACAGGGTTTAGGCATACTGAGTACTGAACCTTTTTCCCCAAAGATAGCCACAGAACCTTTAAATAGTACTCTAAATTTCTCCCAACTTCCTGTTTTAGAGCTGGCAATAAATAAATTCCCTGATCTATCATGTTTAGTGTTAGGTCATAAGATCTCATTCTAGAAAGTGTCCTGCCCTATAACTGGAAGAAACAGGAAAAAAACTGAACCCATAGTCCTTGCTGATATTACCCTCAACGTATTATTATATATTATCATTAGGTCCTTCCTTTTCTGTGTAATCACATTTTTATAAAACTGGTCATTCTTCATTAAACCTAAGCATTAAAAAACAAAACAAAACAAAAAAGAGATGATCTAGCTGGAATACAGCAGACCATTCTTTAAAAAAAAAAAAAATTCCCCAGAATTTATTTAACAATAAATGAATTAATTCAATCCTATTCTCACCTCATCTATTTTTACAAAAGGAGGGATCTTTAAATATTAGAGAATTAGGAAGGCAACAGAATTAACAATAGGCTGATAACTACAATCAGCCCAACAAGTCTTTGCCACAGCTTGGCCCCGTGATACCCACAATTGCTCAGAAGTTTTTAAGGCTCCTGACTCTCCATTGTTTATACTTATAAAGTAGTTTATGTTCTTTTTGTTTCTCTTAACTTTCTCAGCCCTTTCATTTGATTTTAATTACACTGTTTTTATGAGGAAAATTAAAATTTTGAGGAAAATTTATATTTTATATGGAAAATCTAAATTTATTTTTAAGCACATGGGAAAAAATGAAAAAAGATACTTCAGAAATTCATACAATGGGAGATTGCTCTATGAAGTGATTTTCTCTTCACCAGCCACTCCTGGGCTCTCATAGGTAATATCCGATCACCTGATATTTTCTTTAAGCTGATGAAGAATTAATTCCCTTGGGTTCATGAAAGAGTTGAGTCAACCAAGTATGTTAGAACAGCTATGGGACTAATTTGTACCTGCTCCATGGAAATTACTTATAAAAGTAGGAGAGACTTCTTGTTATAGCCTGCACAAATGTAGCTTTAACTCCATCACTTGATTAAAGCATATTGATGATACAGCTACTATATAGGCAACAATACTGCTGGGCACCATGAGGGCTGCAAAGTTGGACAAGGTACCTCAGGAAGTGCAACATCTGGCTGGGGCATGGCTAGTGGAAATACAAAATTCACTCACATGAAACAATAATAAACTTTTTCAGAACTGTGTGTGAATGCAACAGGAGCCAAGGGCTGGGAAGGTAAATGCAGGCTACTGGAGGTGACAAAGCACCATGTGCACTACAGTCAGCCTAAGTCAAGAAGTGTTAATTCAATGCCACTGATTTCATTTAAAAAATTAAGATTTCAAATGATAAAACCATGTTTTTTCATTATATAGCATTTTTTTAAAAGAGAAAAATAAGGGAAATGAAACATGGTTAGGATTCTGTTTTCCCACTGGCTCAGTTATAAAATGCAAAGGAAATAATAGAATAGATCAAATACTTCCTAGTTCTTAAAAGATGAGGCTAGGAGTCAAGAACAAAATTCCCCACCTTTCAGCCATTCTACCTGTTTTCCCATAAATAAAGTGTATTAATAACTTCTCATTCCACAATGGCAAACTCATGACTTTGTGTTTCCATTTAAAGTATTAACAGATTTATTTGTATGCTTTACTCTAGGGCAACGAGGCTTTTTTTTTTTAATATTTATTTTTTAGGTGTAGATGGACACAACACAATGCCTTTATTTTTATGTGGTGCTGAGGATCGAACCCAGGCCCCGCCCATGCTAGGCGAGCACTCTACCGCTAAGCCACAATCCCAGCCCGCAATGAGGCTTTTTGACTACACCTGCGGGAATAATTTGGTTATATGTTGATGTTTGTCTTTGTGATTTAAATGTATGTGTGAAATCAAAGAACATACATATATGATGGAATAACATCCATATATTCTGAAAATTTTCATTTTAAACACTTGTTTTCCTATTCATTGTTTTGAATGAAAAAGCCGCTAAATAAAACTCTTGCCTTTATCAGGATCTTCATGGTTTGTTGTGTCAATGGGCAATTCATCACTTCCCCATGTTATCTCATCTTCATCAGTCTTCCTTTCTTGTGACTTCTGAGTTAAGCTATGCCAACAAAACACATTTGTAATATTTTATTTTTGTTCACAAAACAAATTTAAACATTATGGCCCAACCACTTATTTTTACTACAATTATTACAGTATTTTAAAATAGGTTGTCTGATTAGAAAAGCCAAATCCATAATTCTTAAAATTTATTAGCAGAAAGAAATTAAAGTAAGATGCAGAATTCACTGAACATAGTTTGAAATTTGTTTTCAAATACATCCCAAGTCTTTGAACCTTGCGCTGAAGGAGTCTCCTTGGCGATGAGGAAAGTGGTGATTCAATGCCCACCATTCTGCATGGATGAGTAATCACAACTGGTTCTGGGTACAGCTTTCTCTCCTTTTTATTCAGCACCTGCCCACTACTGCATCATCTGGAAGCTCCTTAATTTATTTAAAGAACCCCCTATTGATGGAATTAGTCTTTTGTTACAACCGGAGGCCAGGAGGACATTCCTGTATCTGGGCACTCAATGTAATGAAACTCAATACAAGTTCTTATTATTCTAGGGGTGCACGGCAGATGGTATTCCTGGAAAGTTAGATGGCCAGAAAGTAGAGACTAGGTAGAAGAACGGGGTTTAGGGCTAAGATGAGATGAAAAAGGATTATGTAATAAAGTCCGAATACATTTCTCACTTTCTGATAAAGGTATAAAGCAGAGTACTTATATCTTGATGACAACAGTACACATGACTAAAGCAGGACATGGTCTAATGCTCCAAAATGTCAACAACAGGGTAATAGTTATGTTGCTTTTATGGTAGATGTTTTTCTCTGCTCTGATTCATTGCAGGCTGAAATTAGTACTTCATTAGCAAGTTCTGTATTCATGAGGTTGATTTTGTCCTCTAGATATACACTTTGTCTGTAAAGATGTATTTTGGGATTCTTCCATAAGGCTTTCCTTTCTTTCTCATTCTTTTTTTTTTAAAATTTATATATGACAGCGGAATGCATTACAATTCTTATTACACATATAGAGCACAATTTTTCATATCTCTGGTTGTATACAAAGTATGTTCACACCAATTCGTGTCTTCATACATGTACTTTGGATAATAATGATCATCATGTTCTACCATCATTTCTAACCCCATGCCCCCTCCCTTCCCCTCCAACCCCTCTGCTCTATCTAGAGTTCATCTATTCCTCCCATGCTCCCACACCCTATCCCACTATGAGTCAGCCTCCTTATATCAAAGAAAACCTTTGGCAGTTGGTTATTTGGGATTGGCTAACTTCACTTAGCATTATCTTCTCTAACTCCATCCATTTACCTGTAAATGCCATGATTTTATTCTCTTTTATTGCTGAGTAATATTCCATTGTGTATATATGTCACATTTTTTTTAATGCATTCATCTATTGAAGGGCATCTAGGTTCTTTCTCATTCTTTTGAATAACTGCTCAGTATGTCATTGAATGAGTACATCCTAATTTACTGTTTCTCTTAGGCATTTTGCTATTACAAACAAAAGTGCAATTACATATTCTATGTAATATTATAAAATAATAATCTTCCTGCAGAAATGTCTTTGCACAAATATGGCACTGGGACTGATTCTTAGAAATAAAATCGCTTGGTTTGAAGGATATCTATCATATTTCTTTGATCTATTATCCCAATCCATAGATACATTATTATTTTGTTTACACTAAGAAAGACATAATACTAGTGATTCTAATTACAAGATCCTTCATGATTTAGAGATGTTAAAACAAAAATAAGTCCACACAAGAAATAGCAATATGCAAAAAATTTATATTTTAATATAATTTCCAATTACTTTTTCAAGAGATTACACTAATTTACTGTTCCTCTTCCCTCTTTCCCTGTCCAACAAAACATAATAGGTGCCTGTTTATTGACACCCTTCTTTTGGATATTTGCTAACTATTTGGCATAAAATTGTATGCACTACTTCATTAATAATATGTACTTTACTGTCTTAGTAAAAACTTCACTGTTACTTTTCCTTTTGAAGAAAGAGCAAATAGCACCTTTTGACTTCCTGATTATCATCTAATATGAAGCAAAATTGTATATAATCCACAGGTCTTTTCAGATAAATAGTGTTAAAAAAATCTTACCTAGATTAGAAACTGTTTTCAGAAAGAAAACTTTGGTGGGGTTTCAAAAAGTTTCTTACCTTCTTTGGTTTCATTTAATTAATAAAAATTAAAATCTTTGAAAATGCAGAAAAATAGAGGAAAGCAAATTACCCATAATCCTAGCAGGAAAAGAAAATAACTATCATTACTGTTAGCATGTTTCCCTTTTATTTATTTTTGATGTGCTGGGGACTGAACCGAGGGCCCCATGTGTTCTACTCAAGTGCTGTACCTCTCTGCTACATCTGCCACCCCCTTCTTTTTCATTTTTAGACAGAGGTCTCTATAAATTGCCCAGGCTAGCCACAAATTTGAGATTCATCTGTTTCAGCCTCTGGAGTAGCTAGGATTACAGGCTTGTGCCACTATTGGTTGAAATACACTTTATTTTAGACCACTCTTTCATTTTTTAAATTTTTGTAGAAATCTCTGTTTTTAATAGTGTGTCCTTCACTCCCCTCACCAAAGGTTAAGAGAATATTGCTTTATTGAAGCAACTATATAGTGAACACATTTTCACATGCTCATAGAACTTCCTTAAAATGAAAAATTTAAAACATTCTTAATGTTCAACCATAGTTTCATAATTTACTCAACAATGTTCATTTTACTGGAAAAGAAATGGAAATCTTCAGAGCATTTCTTGGGGGGGGGGAAAAGAAAGAGAAAGAAAAAAAAGAATGGAAGTATTACACTGAAAACTTTTCTTACCTTTCAATGTTTATTTTTTCTTCACAGCCATTCATTTTAGAAGACTACAATAAAGAAAAATAGAAAATCAAATTAGGTTATGAAATAATCTCATAATGTTTAATTAAACAAAAATTGAACAATCTCATAATGTTTAATTTTTTCTGTGAATTATTTTCTTATATTTAATGTTACTGTTCACCCTCACAATACAAAGACACATATGGCATTCAATTAATACAGACCAAACAGTGGTTGAGAACTTTGCAGTGGCCCAACAATTCTTGTTGGCCCCATTCATTCATCTCCTTGAGGGATATTAAAAGTAAAGAGGTAAGGAGAAAGCCAGGTGAAGATCTGAATGATCATTTAGATATGCACATTTGGCATATGCTTTTATATGACTTCAATTTTTTAATCTGAAAATGAGCTGGGTGCCGTGGTGCCTATAGTCCTGGCTACTTGGGAGGCTAAGGCCAAGGGAGCCGTTGAATCCAGGAGCTCTAGGCCAGTCTGGGCAACACAGAGAGAACCTATTTGAAATGAATATCTGAAAATGGCTCAAGTTTTAGTTTTAAATGTGCTATATCATCTTGCTTTTTATCAAACATCAATGATCTTGAACTTTGAGCATGTTATTTCTGAGATTCCAATACTGCATAGGTAGTTTACTACAATTAGGAGATCGTCAAGTAGTATTCTCAAATGGTGAGTAAATCATACATTTGATCTTTTTTTTGGGGGGGACACTAGAGATTGAACCCAGGAGTGCTCTATCACTAAGCTACCTTCCCAGCCCTTTTAAATTCTAAGACCAGGTCTCATTAAGTTGCCCAGGCTGATCTTGAATTTGTGACCCTCCTGCCTCATCAGCCTCCTGAGTTGCTGGGATTACAAGCAAACAGCACTATGCCTGGCAGGACAAACTATCTTAACAAATAGGAAATTCTTTTTATCTCATGACTCTGAATTATCTAGCTCCTCTGTACAATTCTTCTTTTACTTGCTAGGCTCAAACGCATGAGTCTCTCTTTCTTTCTTCCTTTTTTTTTCCAGTACTGGGGATCAAACGCACGGGCACCTGACCACTGAGCCACATCCCCAGCCCTATTTTGTATTTTATTTAGAGACAGGGTTTCACTGAGTTGCTTAGCGCCTCACTGTTGCTGAGGCTGGCTTTGACTCACGAAGTGTGTGCCACCACACCCAGCACATGGGTCTTTCTTTTACTTCTTCAAAACTGCTCATCTCTTCCTGCCACAGAGCTCTTCCTATGGGAAGCACTTTTGAAAGACTCATCAATGTTTTTTCCTCCTGAGCATGTTCTCATTCTAAAGCAGGTTTCTTGGGTTATTCTCTTTTGCAGCACCTTTTAAAAAACCAGAACCCCCCCCCCAAAAAAAAAAGTAATAGACCTTATATAATTTGTAATTTCATATTTATTTTTAAGGTTTTTCTCTTTTCCTCTCCACTAGACTATAATCTCCATGAGAACAGGAATTTTCTCTGTTCACCATTGTGTGCCTGAGACATAGAGTACCTTATATATTTAATAAAAACGTCAACTTTAACATGACTGTTCAGTTATAAACTTTGTAGAGTTAAAGAACACACATAATTAATTTATCTTGATAACAATTTGAATTTATTTGAGGGAAATGTAGAATTTTTTTTGTTTCCTTTTCTTGGGGTGGTGGTGCTAGAGATTGAACCTAGGGATGGTCTACTACTGAGTTATATCCCTAGTTGTTTTTATGGGTTGTTTTTGGAGACAGGACTAACTAAGTTTCTGAGGCAGGCCTCAAACTTGTAATCTTCTTGCCTCAGCTTTCTGAGTAGCTGAGATTATACACATGCACCACCATGCCCAGCTTAAGTGTAGAATTTCTACAGCTAAAGAAAAAAAAAAAGTAGACTATTTTTATTCATTGGCAACTAAAAGGAAGTTTAGTCTTCATTTGTTTTGAGAACCTGCTTGGTTTAGTCTGGGTTGAAGTTTTTTCCCCAAGTAAAGTCATTGATATTTCTTATTCCTCATTATAGTCTTGGTCTAAGAATCCACTACATGCGTAATAATTTTAAAAAGTATAAAGACTTTTGTAAGAGCCAACTGCTATTATTAACCTGAAAATGGTCAGTTTTGCCCAACTGGATGTAAATTACAGTGAGACTGGTATTAACCATTTCTCACTGTTTTTACGAAGTTCACCTGAATATGGGGAGGTTTGGGTTAAGAAGATTGGAGGAGGAGGAGGAGGAGGAGGCAGCTCAGTATGGCCTTAAGAAAAAGATATATGATTTTTATTGTGACCAACCCACGTAAATGTTAGTTAATAATTCTAATGCTCAGTGAGTCTAAATCCAGCAGATGGAGAGTAGAGGTGCTACCTTCTGGATTTAGGACCAGCTACCTTATTTGTAGACCCCAGTCTCAAATGAAGACACAGGATTTTTCATTAAAAGATTATTATGAACTTCAGGATGGCAAAGGCACAGCATAATATTAAATTAGAATTGCAGGGTTCCACTGGGCTTTGTATGCCTGCACTGGTTGCATGGTAAAGCCATTATTGCCTAGAATCCACGGTCAGGCATGATTATTTTTTTAGGTGATAAGAGTCACTAAAAGTTTTGTGTTACATTTGATTAAAAATATAAAAACATTTACAAAATAATCTGAATTAGAAATACAAAAGGAAGCATACTGATGCATTTTAGTACAATGATGCTATACCTTTGGAGAACATGGAGAATCATCATCCTAGGTCTTTTGACCTAATGAGAAAATGTTTCAACTTCTTTTAGGAAAACTACATGTCCAGAGAGGCAAAAAGACCAGAGTCTTTGGCATGGCATACAAGACACGTCAGGAACCAATGCCTGCTTATCTCTTTAGCTTTCCCTTTCAAGACATTGTGTGATAAACTAAGGCATTTATTTGCAATGCCTTAGTGTCCTGAACATTCCAGACTGATCCAGTCCTTTATGCCTTTGCTAAAGTGGCTCCATAGTATAGACTGCTCATGTCTGTCGTATTTCACTTGTCAAATACCTTTAAAATGCTAATTCCTAGGAAGCTTTAATAACCCTATCTACCTACTCCTGTGTAGACTAGCCATTTCTGTTATTTGTTTTGTTTTTGTTCTGGGGATTAAACTCAGAGGAACTTTATCACTGAGCCATTCCAGCCCTTTTTATTTTTCATTTTAAGACAGAGTTTCACTAAGTTGCTTAGAACCTTTGCTAAATTGCCCAGGGTGGCCTCAAACTTGGGATTCTCCTGTCTCATCCTTCTGAGCTGCTGGGATTATAGATGTGCACCTCTACACCTGGCTTCCTTCATTCTTTATAACTTCTTTAGAATTCCATATCAACATTTAACTGCACATGTACTTTACTATAGCTTCTAAAAAACTGCATTTACTTATTTAAACGTGTATGTTTTCCAAGTTGATTACTAGATTTTATCAGCAAATATAGGACAGAAACCATGATCTCTCTTCCCATTCTGTTATCCCAGCAAAATCAGGGTTTCAGACAAGATCAATATTAGCTGAAAAAAATAGTCTGAAACAATAACTTACAATAATGTATATAATTAGGATTCATTCTTTCATTCATAAGTAAGATATAGACAATGACCTTTAGGCCACATTGAGGACACAGCAAAAAAAAAAAAAAAAAAAAAAAGCAATCTGGGGTGACAACAGAGGCCTAATTGGAAATAAACTTGCAGGCACTCTGAACTTCAAGCCTTCAGAACTTTGGGAAAATAAATTTCTATTATTTTGAGACACCCAAAATAACAGTATTTTGTTATGGCAACCTGAGCAGATTAGGACAGACTGCAAAGTCAAATGTCTGCAAAGACCAGACAAATAATAGAAATCATGGGAATGCATGGGTAGGGTGGTGTAGGACAATAGGAAATTGTGCAATTCATGAAAATGTGGTCATACCATGCAAGCCACTTAAATTTTGTAAAATTAATTCTGCTTTGTGAGACCAGAAAGTTCACATTACAAAGATGAGGAACCTTTAATGCACTGTTTCTAAGAAATTTAAAATTTACCAGTAGATCACCAATTTAATCAGCTATGATATGTTCATACAAAAGAATAAGAAAGCAATAGAAAGTATGAAGAAAACTTATATGTATTCATATGGAAAGAGGATAGCAATTAACTGTTAAGTGAAAAGCAAGTTTTGAATAATGTGATAAATTTATATTAAAAATCAAATATGCACACATTATCTGTGCTTTTTCCAACACGCATAACAGAAGTTAAAAGTTTTAACAAAAACTGCCTCATGAATATGAGGAATGAATTAAAAAAATTTACATTTTTAAATAATTCTGTGTGAAATGTTTTTGTAATGAAGATATACTTTCAAAATCAAAACAACAAAAATGATAACTTGGAGTTTTCTGCCATAAACTTTTATTATTAAATCTTAGTTATAAATGAGAATCTATATAAGTTAACAAGTTTTTTTCTTTTTTCATGAAAAGGCATTTGATATGACATTTTTGAAATGGCAAAATTTCTATGTATTCCCTTAGTTAAGAGACTTTAGAACTTAACGTTTTAAGTGGCACTCCTAGTAATAGTAAAAATCTAATTTAAGTCATCATGACTTAAATGTTCAGAAAACTTTTTTTTAAAAGAACCTATCAATGCTATAATTCCTAATATTCTGTAGTATGAAAGAATATATAAAGTAAAACTACAAAAAGTATTATATTTTGATATATTCAATATGTATATAATCATTCTTGTAGATTAATAAATATTCAATAGATATAAGCTTCCTTGTATATACACATATTAAATATTTATAAATGTTTAGATATAATTATGTGCATATAAGATTGTAAGTACATGCATGGATGGTTAACTATTTTAAGAATTCAAGTCAGCAGAGCTTTGACAATTTGAAGATATGGAGTAGGGAGACTAAGAATGATAGAAGAGTTGTTTTAGAATACTAAGCAAAGTCAGATTTGTATAAATAGGATGATGCTGAGTTTGAGGAACCCTAAATATAATATGCCCACTATTTTATATTTTCTCTTAGCCCACTGTCCCAGAAGATCCAAAGATTTTAAATTTTAAATAAGAATTTGAAAGTTAGCCATTATACTTTTGAAAACCAGTTGTTTCTTTTTTCTTTTCTTTTTGAAGGAACTAAATGATGATTCTTTCTGAATGAGTAATGATTGATCTGAATGACACTTTGATGTAACATAAAATTAATCTCCTTTCCCCACCTAAATATAATTTGTCAATAAAACAAGCAACAATCTCAGATTATTTCACCTTCCTGGTTAAGACACATGATTCTAAAGAAGTTTAGTATTCTAGGCTGTTTATCTAGGTATTATTATCCTTACCTCAGTAAAATCCTCAGGTAAAGGTGAGCCATCACAGTCTGTATCTTCTGCTCTCTCTTCTGATAACTTCCCATTTGTCTTTAATGTATCTGGGAGAGAAACATACAGGCCAAGAGAAACTAACAGAATTATTGAGGAAGTAGAAAAGTTTTCATCAGTCCTCAAAAGAAGGCAGTAAATAAACTAATATCCACAAATTGTTTCAGTGTTCTAACTGTAAATGTTAGAAACAAATGACATGGTACATGTCAGTCAGTATAAGACTTCTGGTTAAAATTATCTACATGGTAAAGCATGTGCTTAGCAAGCACAATCCACTGAGTTTAATCCTCAACACACACGCACACACACAAATTGCATGCCTTCACAATGGCTTATTATAACTGGGGGAAAATGTTTAGACCATCACTTCTAAAAATAAAAGCCATAATGTTAGTGATACAGGTTTTGATCTCATTAATAAGGTAATCTTCCTACAAATATGGAAAAGACAAAAATAGGAGATAAAATCTTTTATTTTTAAAATATTACTCAACAATGAGGATTATGCTAATATTTTTCACATTTACTAAAAAGATGTTCCCTAGAGATTTCCTTGTACTCCTTAGAGTATCAATTTATTCATCTGGTTCATTTACCTGAAACAGAGGCATCTCTTGTAACATAATTTTGGTTTAAAAGATTCTGGGCTTCCTCATCGACAACATCCAGCAGAGATTGGATAACTTCAGCCTCTTGAGGATCATCATAAATGTCATCATCTTGTATGTTGGATTCTTGAAAAACAGAAATTTTCATGGGGTTTTACTTTAAAAATACTGACACAAGAAAGGGACAACATGCTAGGTCTTTTTAAACTTTAAGCATCTACTTTGAAAGGCAGCTATGGTTACTAATGGGACTCAGTCATTTCTAGTCCTAGAATTAGTCTGGTGGCTCAAAGAATTAATCAAAACCAATGTTGGTGATATACCTTTCCATGAGACATTAATAATTTTAAGTTTATATTCTTAAATTAATCTCAAGTTATTAATTTGGGAAAGAAACACAAGTTATGTTATAAAGGTTATGAATATAATAGGTCACACAAAACATTCTCAAAGATAAATTTCCTAAACTATTAGGTAGTTTGTGAAGTGGTACTTCATAAAATGTAAGAAACACTATCAAACAAAACAGCCGTCTTTTCAATCATTTAAAAGTAGTTCGTCTCAGAGATTAAACTAGATGGAAGGTATTTGTATGTTAATGCCATTAACTATTAGTTTTATGTTCTTTTATTTCTTTGAACAATCATCTTTCCTTTTAAAGCTACAGTAACATGGAAGGCAAATGAGAGGATACCTAATATTTCTTTTGTTATTTAAAATTTTAGGGATTTAGAGTAATTGGATGACTACCTTTGGACCTGGTCAAGTTCGTTGATTCCTTCATCTGAGAAGGAGAATAATTTCCTTTAGGGTGCAAGGCTTGAGTTATTTCTTCCCCATTAACCTAAAGTATAAAACCAAAACACATCATCAGATTATTATGTTACCAACTTCCAGGATAAGGGAGGTGTACACAATGCCCCTCTCTTCTTCCTTACTACAAAATTCATTTTATGTATTCTCATTTAGATCTGTGTTTCTAGAAAATACAAGTGTAATTAAATGTGCAAAGGGGATGGAGTTTTCCATCATCAAATATATCTGGAAACACTAGATTAAATAACAGTAAATTAATATTTTTTATTCCAGGAATTCTAACAATACTAATATATAGTTTGAGTTACTAAAAAAGAAATGTATTATATACAATATTAAATTTCTTGAACTGCAGAAGTCTCTTGCTTAAGGCATATTTTATGGAACCTGTCCTCCAAAGAATATTTTAGAAATAGAAAAGCTTAAAAGTTGAGGGAAAGGGGAAAAAAATCAACTTTTTAATTATTTATGAGGCTATTACATGGATATACACTCCAATTTAGTGATATGATCATCCTGCGGGCTTAAACATTTTCAAATTTAGTCTATATCTCATGTGAATTTAAGAAAAATAACAATGGCTTCACTACTAGATAATAATGTAACTTCCTAATGCAATGGTAAACTGTGAAACACTTCATACAGTGTAACTTGTAGAAAGAAAAATGGGGCTGAGGTAGTGGTAGAATGCTTGCCCAGCATGTGCTAGGTCCTGGTTTTCATACCCAGCAACACATGCAGGAAAAAAAAAAAAAAAAAGATCTGAGCAAAAATGCCAAGTTTAATGACTAGAATAAATTAAAATAATTTTGTACAAATTAAGCTTGTGGTTTGCTCTGAAGGTCTTACTCTTTATACTAAGATACAAAGGACATGTGGTAGATGCAACGCAATTATTTCTTCATAAAGAATGGTGATATACATTGTTGGTGAGACTGCAAATTAGTATAATCACTCAGGAAATCAGTATGGAGAGTCTTCAAAAAATTAGGAATGGGGGCTGGGGTTGTGGCTCAGAGGAAGAGCGCTCGCCTAGCATGTGTGAGGCAGTGGGTTCGATCCTCAGCACCACATGGAAATAAAATAAAGGTATTGTGTCCACTTACAACTAAAAAATGAATGTTTAAAAAAAATTAGGAATGGAACCACCATATGATCCAGCTATCCCACTCCTCAGTTTTTATTCAAAAGAAATAAAATCAGCATGCTATAGTGATATGGCCAATGTTTATAGCAGCACAATTCTCAATAGCTAATTATGAACCCAGCCCAATGCCCATCAATAGGTGAATGGATTAAGAAAACCCAATGGAGTTTTAGCCATAAAGAAGAATGAAATTATGATATTTGCTGGTAAATGGATGGAACTGGAGAATATTGTACTAAGTAAAATAAAACAAACTCAGATAGTCAAGGATCAAATGCTTTCTCTCACAAGTAGAGGCTAGAGCAAAATAAGGGAAAAATTGAGAGAGGTTGGATATCATAAAGACAGAGGGAAGATAGTGAAGTAGAAGAAGGAGATGGAGAGGTAGGGAGGAAGTATGGGAAAGGGGAGGAAATGCAGAGTAAATTTGACAAAATTAAATTCCATGCATGTATGATTGTGTCAAAATGAACCAAACTATTATGCACAACTATAATGCACTAATAAAAGGAAAAAAAAAAAAGAATGCTGATAAAATGATGTGAGAAAGTTCCCCGGGAAAAAAAAAATAAAGCTTCCCTGGATCATGAAATCCATTTTTCATCAGAAATTTATATTATAGACATTTGCATTCAAGGACAGAACATTGTCAGGGAGGCTTCCTTGAAGATTTTTAACTCCAACAACAACAACAAAAGGGTCTGATTTTATAGTTTTATGTTAACTTAACAGAAATTCTACCCTTCTCTATTTCAACAACTTGCTGATGATTAAAAAGAAAATAAACACTACACAGCATGAAAAATAGTAGAAATACATGAAAATGCAGTTGCTTCGGCTATGTGAAATTGAAGACCTTCTGAATTAACAGAGAATAGTGAGCGTTGTTATAACTCAATCTATACATATGCGTATACTAAGAAATTTTAATTTTTGTGTCAGCCATGTATGCTGCAGTATTTTTTCTGGACTTGAAAAACTAAGTCACAAGTGTGAGATAACAGTGAGATGAAAGGCACAGAATTTTGGGCTTGTGGTCACTTAACTAATTTTCTCCTCCTACACTAAATCAAGCTCATATCCAGAATCCTGTTGAAATGATAAGACTTTCTGATTATTATAGGAACAATAAAACGTTTTACATGGGAAGACATTCTACATTTTACATTACAAGAAAAGACATTTGAGCAGTGAGGTTCAGAACAGATTGCATGGGATGAATGTAGGATAAAACAGTCCAACTAAATGAAGATTGGTGTAAATGAAGATCAGCTGTGATTATTTTAGAAATGTACATTACATGCCAGAAGAAAAATCATAAAAACAAATGTTAGCCAAACTGGCACACATGTAGACTTAAGGAAAGGCCATGAAATAACATTTATTATGTGTGTTAAAATAGTTTTGTGAAATTACTCCCAGATTTCTCCATTAATCTTTTTTTTTTTGTTTTTGGTGGTGGTACTGAAGATTTGAACCAAGGAATGCTTTACCACTGAGCTACATCCCTGGTCCTTTTTATTTTTATTGGTTTTGAACAGGATCTTCACCAAGTTGCCAAAACTGACCTTGAATTTGTGATTTTTCTGCCTCAGCCTCCTCAGTTCCTGAGGATACAAGTGGACTAATTTTTTTTGTGTGTGTGTGTACCAGGAATTAAACCCAGGTGCACTTAACCACTGAGCCATATCTTCAGCCCTTTTTAATATTTTATTTAGAGACAGGGTCTTGCTGTTGCTTAGGGCCTCACTAAGTTGCTGAGGCTGGCTTTGAACTTGCTATCCTCCTGCCTCAGCCTCCAAAGCCTTTGGGATAGCAGGCACCCAACTAAATGTTCTAATCTTAAATGATTCAAACTCTCATTTTATTATGTGATAAATTATTTCTTAAATCTTTCAAGCAAGTAAACTTGACCACTGCCGTTTTTCCTCAGAGTATAGATTTAATTAACACCTGCAGGTGTTAATGAGCAATTCTATTTTTATTTGCATTCTTTCTCTCTTACTGTGGTCTATGAGAAAAACAAAAGAATTGTACACATTAATTTTAAAAAAAATCCCTACACTAAAGTTACCTTTTCAAGTAATTAGCTTATTTAAGAACCATATGTGTGCCAAATAGTGTTACTTGTGTGAGAGTTCTGTTGTGTGTTTTACTTAGCAAAACCTATTATTTTACCAAAATATATCCTTACTATCAATACTTATATCTGAAAAAGACAAATATTTAAATATGAAATCATTTTGGTTCAAAACACAAGTTGGTTATTTAGATTAAAAAGTATGACGTTACCTTGGAGAACGAATTCTTAGGAGTGAGGGCAGGTTGGCCAGAAGGTTCCACACTGTGATGGCCTGAAAGGAACAACTCAGGAAGTCAGGGGATAAGCCAGTCAAAACAAGAGACATCACAATAATTAAAGATACATGAAGATGTGAATTTCTGCTGCACAAAGTAGATATGTAAAAATATGACTCAAATTCAAAATCCTGGGGTTGAGGCTGTTGCTCGGTGGTAGAGCACTTGCCAGAATGCACGGCCCTAGGTCCTTCCACTACTAAATAAATAAGTGGGAGAAAAAAGATTATATGATACATATAAAATAATGAAAGAAAACCCACATTTCTGAGGTTATTATTTTCTTAGTATACTAAAAAAGATCACATCACAAAGTGATAAAACCAAGTAAAAAAGCCAACTTCTTAAAATGATTCACATAAAAGCTGAATTGGGGCTGAATGATTCAAGTGTGAGACATTAAACAGAAAATACCCCTATTGAATGGAGGAGGCATCACAGTTACTGTATTATATTCAATGTAGTAGTTAAGGGAAGAAAACAAACATTTGTCTTATTTTAAAAAGAATATCACTTTAATACAGGAAAAGATGTCATAGCTACAACTGAAAAAGACTTTAAACATATTTCCAAAACAAATACTAATTTTAGGTTTTAGACTCTCAGTATAAAAATTTAATACATAGACTAAAAATGAGCAGATTCTCGTTTTCCTTATGATTAAAAGTCATATATTTATAGTTTAATCCATTAAATTATATTTTTAAGAGATTCAGATTAATATGATTGAATTTGGGAAAATTAAAACAACAAACACAGGTATATGAATCCAAGGATATCTATTTGAAAATGACCTAAAAATAATTCTACATAGAAAGATGAAGCCTGAGATGGAATTTTTGTGCATAAATCTCTAAAATTTTGTGCCTGATATTATAAAAAGCCTACAAATGTCTTTTGTTCTCACTTGAAAGCAACATATCCTATTAGTTTCAGAAAAAATAAAAGCATACCAATAATAAGCCACTTGTTCAAAAAATCATATTAGAAGAATATAAGACATCCTAGTATATTATTGATAATCTCTCCCTCCTGTTTCTTAACTGCTTCTTCCCCTCTTTCACCTCAGGCGATCATTGACCTGTTTTCTGTCCCTCAAATTTGCACGTCTACCATTGTGTACAAACAGAATCATACAATATAAATTCCTTTTTTTTTTTTACAGTATGGCTTCTTTCCTTCAGTATATTTATTTCGACATTATTTTAATTATTTGTTGCATGTACCAGTTGTCCATACTTTTGAGTAGTATTCCATTGTTTGGATATATAATTGGTTTATTTTGGACATTTGAGTCTTTTGCAATTCTGGCTGTTACAAGAAAAGCTGCTGGAAAGATTTCCTTCTCCCTCCCTCCCTCTCTTTTTTATTTCTCTCCTCTTCGTTCACTTGTTCTTTTTCTTCTTTTCATTTTTCCAGTACTGGGCATTGAGCCCAGGGCCCCATGCATGCTCAACAAATGCTCTACCACTGAGTCACATCCCTAGCTCTTTTTGAAGTTTTAATTTTTGAGATGGGTCTCACACTAAATTGACCAGGCTGGCCTTGAACTTGCAATTGTACTGCCTCAATCTCCCAAGTAGCTAGAATTACAGGCATGCATCCCTGTATCCATCTGCTAATGAGACTTCTGTTCAAGTTTTTAATGTATGGACATATGCTTAATTAAAAACACAAAAAACAAAACTAGGAATGTGCTGGGTGTGGTGATGCATGCCTGTAGTCCCAGCCACTCATGAGGCTAAGGCATGAGGAGCACAAGTTTGAGGTCAGTCTCAGCAATTTAGCAAGACCCTAAGCAACTTAGTGAGACCCTTCCTCAAAATAAAAAATAAAAAGAGGTGGGGATGTAGCTCAGTGGTTAAGCACCCATGGGTTCCATCCACAGTACCAAAATAAATAAATAAATAAATAAATAAATAAATACCCACTAGGAATGGAATGACTGGTAGGCATGTTTAAATTTTCAAGAAATTGTTAAAACTGTTTTGCAGAATAGGTATACCATTTTACATTCTGGTTACTATGGAAAGTGCCTATTATTAACAAAGGATCAGTTTTAAAACCCATAAATAAATTAGTTCTATGGGAATCAAGTCAGAAGATCTCACAGATAGGTCACTAGGCAGTTTCACAGGGGTCTGGAGCATTCAACAGTTATACAGAAGCCATCCAGAGCTCACTAGAAAAACATTTGTGATAGTTTTATCATGGACTAGAACTATATAAAGCAGCAAAAAGGACCCCTATGCTTTAGCTTTTAGAAGAAAAACATCTATTATAGTAAGGTTTCATTTAGCCACTATTGGGATTTAGAAACAATGTCTGATAGCCTAAAAGATTAATTATCCGTCAAGTACTGAAGTTACTTTTACAAATGCACTTAATTTGACTGTATTCCTCAGTGCCAAACATGCATACTATGTTAGTACTTGTGATAAAAGCTACATTTATGTAGCCCAATTATGCAAAGAGTACAGAATTAAACTTTCTGGGTTTAAATTCAGGTTCTACTCCTTATTTTTTTTAAAAAACCTTTATTTTACATATTTATTTATGTGGTGCTGAGAATTGAACCCTGGGCCTCACCGGAGCTAGGCAAGTGCTGTACCACTGAGCCACAACCCTAGCCCCAGGCTCTATTCCTTATTAACTCTGTGAGCCTGGGAAATTATCAAACTTCTCTGTGCCTCAGTTTCTCTTTCTATAAAATGATAATAGTAACACTATAATCATGGGGTTATGGTGAAGACAAAGCACTTAGCAGAATGCCTAGTCCAGAATTAGCATTAAATTAAAAGACAGTTGCTGCTGGGCCTGGTGGGATAGGCAGAGAATACCAGTAACTTGGGAGGCTAAGGCAGGAAGATCCCAAGTTCAAGGTAGCCTCTGCAACTTGGTGAGACTTTGTCTCAAAATAAAAATAAAAGGGCAAGGAATATAGCTCAGTGGTAAAAGCACCCTGGGTTTAATATTCAGTTATCTCTCTCACACACACACACACACAAAGGTAACTGCTGCCAAAACAATTACTACTACTGTTTTCCTTCTTATGCTAGAATGTGAAGCAGATACTTTGCACATTGCTGTATTTACAATGTCCAGAACAATGCACAGAGGAGAAATTCAGTAAATGTCTGAATAAATTACCTTGTGGCAAGCAAGATGGTACATGTTTAATGTGTACTAATATATTTGAGACTAATTATAACCTTACAAAGCAAATACTAATAATATATTTATTTTACTGATAGGAAATAGAAACATATGTATGGATCTTAGAGATTTACTAAGATCACAAAAAACTTAAAAACTCATGTCAAATGGGCTCTGAATTTCATGGTCTACTCTGTTCTCTAGTTTTCTATTATAAATTAAATTTCAGAGTCCAGGACCCGCAGCTCCGCCCGAACGTGGGTCCATGGGGACAAGAGGCCCAGGTGGGTGAGAAGCAAGCTCCTGTGCCCAGGAAGCCCGGTCCCCGGGCCATGGGGGCACAGGTGAGGCTGTCTTCTGGAGAGCCCTGCCAAGAAGGCTATGTGCTATCTCTGGTCTGTCAGAACTCTTCCCAGTCTTGGTGTGAGATCCCAAATGTGTCGCAGCTGCAAGCTTCTTCTATCCTTTATGGAAACCTGAATTCCAGCACAACCAACTGGAGCATTTCAGCAAATGTAGAAAACAAATACAATCTTTATGTGGGCTTGCTACTGGCCATATGTTCTAGCATTTTTATTGGCTCTAGCTTCATTTTGAAAAAGAAGGGACTCTTGCAACTGGCCAATAAGGGTGTTACTAGAGCAGGTAAGGGACACATGCAAATAATGAATTCAAGTTTCTAATTACAGAAATAATTCCATCGTGAGACCACAATGCTATAGTCATGATCATTGACTCCGTTTATCTAAGCCTGTGTGTCCTTGATTGAGCCAGCTGTCTCCCTGACAGTCTCTGACCTCCTACATAAAGTGGCTCCTGCTACCTCTCCAGCTTCTTCCTGTGCCACCCTCCCACTCTTCTTTCACATTCTTGGAATAGACCAGCCTCTTTCCCACCCTGAGGTCTTTTTCACTGGTCTGGAACTCTCTGCTTCCTGCCCACTGAGCTGATTCACCCTCCAGACTTTGGCTTGAATTTCACTACCCAGGAAAGGCCATCCTGGACCATCCTGTCTGGGAAGGTCTCCCCACCTGCATCCCCTGCTGCTCTCCATCATTGCATAACAGTTTCCTTTCTTGGAGTTATGTGTGTATTGTTTATTTACTTATTGTTAAGAGGATTACTTGTTTATTGGTGGTAGAGAGGAACAAGAGAGGAACCTTTCTTTGCACAACATTTTTGATACCTGATAAATATTTCTTCATCTCTGAATGGACAGCAATAGAATTAGTCCACCATTTATACTGACATTTCAGATACTAAATAAGCACAACCGGACTATCCTTTAAGTCATGAATCTTCTATTCCTTTTCATCAAATGTAAGACCTAAATTAAATATTTTTCTAAGGTCCAAATGGAAAAATAAATTAGTACAAATTATGCAAACAAGTTTCTGAAACAGTACTATTGAGAGTGGTATTTGTACCTTCAGAAAACAAAAACATACTATATTAGTATATAAAACAATTTAGTATTAGCATTAAAATAGATACAGTAATAAAAGATTATTGAGGCGACCCGGGAAGATGGCGGCGAGGGGAGTGCATTGCCCCCGTGTGCTGCTTCACTGTGTGGGAGTATGACAAGTCAGGACAGCTAAAGGATATCTTGTTAGGAATTTCCAGCAATAGTGGGGCGCTCCGGAACCTGAAGGAAGGATTTCCATCGCACGAGGATCGGCTACGGGGACTCAAACGCGAGAGGTTTGTCGCACGGAGGGTAACACTGCTTATTCAGCAAATCGCCCCGCGGCTAGAGTCTGCAGCGCGCGCTGGGAAACGAGGAGATAGCGACGCAGGGATACAGCGCTGCAGTTTCTGCCAGCCGTGCAAGCACCGT